TGTACCTGGAATTTGGGCTACATGTGGTTCAACCATAATTCACCTCTTTCATATTAAGTGCACGCCCACTTATTTATAATTTTGTTCAGGAAAAACAGGGCTTTCGTTTCATATATTTATATATGAAAAATTATTTAATATGAATAAAATATAAAAAGTGAGAGAAATTAAGAAGTTATTTTTCAAGTTCTGCTTGACTAACTGTAAATGTCATAATGCTGTTGGATTTTACTGCAATAAAATTTGTATTCAGAAATGTTTCATGAGTACATAAGGACCCCAAATGTACAGTTTTTGTTTTTTTTGGAGACTTACAGGAGTCAAATGTAGGGCTTTCCCCTTTTCCATGTTTGCACATTGAAATTTGACAGATAGGTTTGCTAGGCCTATATTGCCTTTGAGACCGTATAGCAACCCAGGAATGAAAACCAACCCCATCATGGCATACCATTTGAAAAATTAGACAATCCATGGTATTCAAAATGGGATATATCCAGTCTTTTGTAGTAGCCACAAACGCTGGCCAAAGTTAGGGTTCATATTAGTTTTTTTGCCTTTTTTTTTTTTTTTTTACTCAAAAGCTGCAGCAGGTGGACCGCCCGCCCCTTTAAGGACAGCATAGCATGCCTGCCGTCCTTAAGGAGTTAAACATTTTTATTTCTAATGAAATTATCAATAAAATAATTTCCCTCATATGAAGCCAGATTGGGCACAATACTGGTTGAAGCAACACAAATAGCTGAAAGAATGAGATTAGCTACACGCAACCGGTCTGTATCAATGCTCACAACCAACCGAGTCTGAAATGGCCAACAGTTCGCGGGAATAAGATGGCGGTCTCTGACTTGGGGGGACACCGGGCAGCGGTGGCAATCTTTGATGTGGCAAAACTTGCAGCAGAACTTTCTCTCTCTCGGAACCCCAGGGTTCTGCAGTACAGTGATTGGAAAACACTGGTATGTAGCTTTAAGAATACACATACTCCTAATGCTATAGTGTTACACTACCTATTTAGATGACTGGCACTACTACTTTGAGGGTTTAACCCCTTAAGGACCAAACTTCTGGAACAAAAGGGATTCATGACATGTCACACATGTCATGTGTCCTTAAGGGGTTAAAAAGGTGATATTTACTTATCTCAAGGCACTCTGGTCTACCAGCAACCACACAGCCTTCTCTGTTGAGATCAGCAGTCGTGATAATCGCAGGGTAGTGCGCACGAGTGGCAAATTGCAGCACTGAGCCAATCAAATGCTCTCTATAGAATGTGAAGGCAGATAAGAACCAGCCCATCTAGTCTGCTCAATTTTTTTAAATACTTTCATTAGTCCCTGGCCTTATGGTTAGGATAGGCTTATGCCTATCCCACGCATGCTTAAACTCCTTTACTGTGTTAACCTCTACCACTTCAGCTGGAAGGCTATTCCATGCATCCACTACCCTCTCAGTAAAGTAATACTTCTTGATATTTTTTAAACCTTTGCCCCTCTAGTTTGAGACTATGTCCTCTTGTTGTGGTAGTGTTTCTTCTTTTAAATATTGCCTCCTCCTTTACTGTGTTGATTCCCTCATGTATTTAAATGTTTAACCCCTTGAGGACCAAACTTCTGGAATAAAAGGGAATCATGACAGGTCACACATTTCATGTATCCTTAAGGGGTTAAATGTTATTTAAATTATCTATGAGAATCACTGATTGAATTACAGAGTCTAACTAGGTTTTTACAGTGGGAAGGGAACCACTAGAGATGTGTTTAACCTGACAATCAAAACATTGTCATTTCTGAAAGTATGGGAACGTCAGCAATCAGGTTCCCATAACTTGCATCTAGGGAAAAACCATAAACAAAAGTTTTCAAATTTAGGCCTCAATTTAATATTTTGGATAAGCTTTTTAGATAATGTAATATTTTTGGATACACTTAATTACTTAAAAGATACCCCCTCCCCCAAATAATCAATATATTAAAAAAATATATATATAAAAATATTAAATGATTTTATAACTGTATCCAAAAATATTAAATCAATTGGAACGCTTATAAAAAAAAAAATAAAAAAATTAAATCATGGCCCTATTAGCGATTGACTGATATTGATTTTTTTTTTTTTTTTTTAGAGCCGATACGGATAATCTGTGAACTTTCAGGCCGATAGCCAATAACTTACTGATACCGATATTCTGTACAATTACCATTTTGAAAAAATAACTGAACATGTTTATTTTTTTTTTCTATTTTTTTTGTTAAGGTAAATACACAGAATATACATGCCAGTCAGACTTTTTTTATGGTACTGAATGCAGCGTGTGTATAGTAAATGCAGTGAGTGTTTGTGTAGGCATGTAATGTGTGTAAAATATGGGGGGGGAGGCATTTTTATTTAATGCTTCTTACCTCTATTAATTTGACAAAACAGAGCTTTTTCCCCAATAACCACAGCCTTTCGCTTCTACACTTATCAAGAGTGCATCTCAGGTGGGTTAACTCAGAGCTATCAGCTGATCAGTGTTAAACAAGGATGATGGATTAAACATTTTTTATTGTGATAGGTGGAATTGCAGCTAGAGGCTAAACAACTTATCCCATAAATCTTGGCAGGACGGGAGTATAAGGCTAATGATTAAAGACTAGAATGGGAGTCTTACTTTCTTACACTCCTACTTCCCTTCCCAGCCTGTGTGCTGCGCGGAGTGTTACCATGGTAACCAGTGGCAACAATCTGACGGCCGCGGGACTTGCGTCATGGTTTAATTTCAAATTCATACTGCTGAAGCACCAAAAACAGAGTCACTGTTCAAATACTATTGGCCTTCAAAGCTAGTACACAGCAGTTAACTTCACCATCTAAATCGAGTATAAATGTTATATTCATGTATTTTGCAGAATGATATCTAGACAATAAAGTCTCACTCCCCATCATTGATACTTGAGGAATGATTACCAGCCTGTAGAGAAATTTATTATTCAGCCAGAAGCCACTAGTCACAGATATAATGCCTGGAAAAGTTCAGCTCACCCCCTGCTTTAAAATATTACAGGATGTTTGAATGGGTCATATTCCTACAGTAAGGAAGGGAGAGGGTTGAATGGACTAACATTTCACTCTTAGCATTACATTAGAATTCAGAAGAAAGGCACAAGTTGTCACCAAGTCAGGTATACTGACATGGCAGGTATTTGGCATTACATGTCAACTATAGAAGTCGTTGCATAGTTCTTGTATGAACGTAGTGGGGAATCGCAATGCTTCCTAGAACAAAAACTAACCCCATTCAACCCCCCCAATAACGACAGACCACTTAGTATGGATGAAACAGGCAACAGCATTTATTATCACACACTAAATTACTGCATAACTCATCCATAACTTTATTTATAAAATCTCTTCTTTTTCATTAACCAAAAAAGTTAGACATAAATAATCATACATTAACATATATACATATATAACCTCACACATAGGCTTATGCAGTGACCCAACCGTCCTTGCCAATAAACATACAGTGGTTCCTAATCACCACTTCCTCTCACCTCCCCCCTCGTCATAAAAATCATATCTTTCCAATGCCCGCCATCAGCCGACCTTATCCACGCTTATCCCCACACTCCTACATGTGCCCTTGTCCGCTTAGCTGCGCTCTCCCCCCAGGGCCTGAAGAAAAAGGCAAAATAAAAATAGAAACCTGTATCTGTATTGGCACATATATATAAAAAGAGAATGTGCCACGTTGCATAATGATGTCACTGACCACAAACAGCAAGTGACAGTTTTCTGAACGTTGATGGATGGACATTATCTTCTATTTCTGGCAGTTGGCGGGGGAAGTATCTTGCGCAGTAATAGATCTCAAATTTCATGATTCCAGTTAATGATCAATTCCTTCATCTTTTCACTTGTGTGCACCTAGAGTGGTCCAGACCCCCTATTGTGTAGCACCATACATTAACTATAACGTCATGAGGAGGTAGAGGGACAAGAGAAAGATAGCAAAAATGACAAGGCAGTTCAACGCCTCCAAGTCTCCAGTCTTTTCATCTAGTGTCGTAAATACCCAAAAAAACCCTGAAATAAACAAGAGACCATGAGAACTTGAAGCATAACAATGATCCAGACAATAAAATACAATTTATATAACCCCCTAATTTTTATAACTGACCTGAAACTCTACTCGTATGTTTATTGCACCAGCTATACCTCATCACTATCATCATCACATTTGGTTTGGAACATAAAACTAAGTAGTTTATGCTTTCTCAATGTGAAAAGAATGCAGTATATAAATTACAAAATCTCCATACTCCCTCTAAAATCAATATATGGCCAGGACTCAAAGTCTTTTGGTGTGAATTTTGTGAATATAAGCACACATTTAAGGTCAAGTTCCCTCTCTGTACTGCAATGTTAAATAATCCATCAATGTTGGTATGGTTCTGTTTTTTCCCCAACCAATGCATTTTCTGAAGCCTCACTTAATTGTCAATGCTCTACAATTAACTGATTTAGTGAAATAAACCCGTCTTGCAAGTATTGTCAGTACACCATTTAAATTTTGCATTTTCTGTCCAAAACCATTAAGCAAAAATAGTAATGGTTATGGTGCTTGGAGATTTCCTCAAGTTTAATTGTCCTGACTATAGTAATTTTCTGCCATGCCTATGAGCTAACACTTTGTGCTACTTTTTAAGACAATTTGATATACTTTTCATCTATTAACATCCTATTCATTTGTTATTTTAAAAGCAAGTCAAGATACCTTTACCAAAGCCCATACTGTGAATAGGGATCGACCGATTATCGGTTTTACCGATATATTCGGTATCGGCCAATATAGATACCGATATTGCCGATAATACATACCATGACCGCCGGGCTCCTTACAAGCCCAGCGGTCCTGGGGGCGGCTGCAAGCTGTTACTTTTAGCAGCTCCTCAGCTCCCCAGTGTAAATCTCGTGAGTGCTTTGGCCGTCAGAGCGTTGACACGGGTTACCATGGCAATGCTCCGCACCCCACGCAGACTCCGATATTTAAACTGGGGAGCTGGAGGAGCTGCTGGAAAGGTAAGTAACAGCTTGCTGCCGGCCCCTGAACTGCTCAGCCAATGCCACTGGATCACCAGGGAATGCCATAGCCCCCCTATCTGGCCAGGTAACAAGCAGGGAGGGGGGACAAAAATAATAATAAAACCTATAAATATTAAAAACAAAATTAAAATAAAAAATGCCCCCCACCACCCATTTTACACAAATTACATCCCTTCACAAACACACACACTCTGCATTATATATACACACACACACACACACTCTGTACAGTGTGTGTGTGTAGTGTGTGTATATATAATGCAGAGTGTGTTTGTATAGTGTGTGTGTGTGTGTGTGTGTGTGTGTGTGTGTGTGTATATATATATAATGCAAACATACTCTGCATTATATATACACACACACTATACAAACACTCGCTGCATTATATACACACACACACACACACACACAACTATACACACACACTAAAAAAAACACACCCTGCATTCATTATATACACACTACACAAACACACACTGCATCCACTACACACACACACACAGCTCCCCTGTCTAAACACACTGCATCCACTACATGTGGCATGTATATTTTGTGCATTTACCTTAAATAGTTTATTTTTTAAAAATGGTAAATGTACAGAATATTGGCAAGTTATCAGCTATCGGCCTGAAAGTTCACAGATTATCGGTATATGAATCGGCTGTAAAAAAAAAAAAAATATCGGTCGATCCCTAGCTTTGAACTCATATGTAATAACCATAAAGTTAAATAATATACTCACGAATGCCTAAAATGCCTAAAATGCCTAAAACAGCAATAATCCATTGATAATCACCAGGACCTAGAAAAGAGTAATTTACAGTTTGTTAACAGTTATTCAACTGGAGATGCTAGACAACTGTCAGATATATTGCAAGGAGAATACAAGATTGTCCAAACATGGTCAGACAGATGTATAATCATCTAAAATCCTACAAGCACCACAATTACACTGCTGCCCAAATGGCACTTTTCACAAACATTATTTGAATACTTCTGCTTATTTTTGTGAAATAGTAAGGGGGGGGAGAGGGAGGAGAAGTTGTTTCTCAGACACAGGGGTTTACTTTGAAGGAACCTTGCTAATGCTGAGCGACTCCGCTCCTTTGCCTGGAGAATAAGCACAGACTCTGATGCTGAAATTATTTTTCGTCTAGATCAGGGGTCCTCAAACTATGGCCCATGGGCCGGGTCAGGCCCGCCAGAATCCTGAACCCGGCCCCAGCACTCTGAGCCACCCGATGGGCCCTATAACTTCAGGGGCCGGGTCAGCAGTGCGGCGTGCAATAGCAGCCGCAAAGTACTGCTGGGAGTAGGTGTCCATCACTTCCTCCCAGCTCCCTCCGCGCGGGAAGGAAGAAAGACATGTCGCAAGGAGGGAAGAGCCACACTGACTCCCATCAGCCACAGCCATCCTCCTGCAAAAAAAGTAGGAAAATTTAGCTGTGTGTATGCATGTGTGTATGTGTGTGTGTGTGTATGTCTTTCTCTGTGTATGTATGTCTGTGTGTGTATATGTATGTGTTTGTATGCATGTGTTTGTATGCATGTCAGTAGGTGTCTGTCTGTCTGTATTTAAGTATGTATGTCAGTGTTTGTATGCATGTATGTATTTCAGCATGTCAGTATGTATGTCTGTGTGTGTATGTATGTATGTATGTATGCATCTGTCTGTCTGTGTGTGTATCAGTGTATGTATGTCAGTATGTGTTTGTGTGTGTATGCATGTCTATGTATGTCAGTAAGTATGTATGTATGTATTTTAGTATTTTAGTATGTGTGCGTGTATGTCAGTGTGTTTGTATGCATTTCAGTATGTCAGTATGTATGTCTGTGTGTGTCTGTGTATATATGTCAGTATGTGTCTGTCTATCTACCTGTATGTATGTCAGTGTGCTTATATAGGTCTGTGGATGTATGTCAGTATGTGTTTGAATGTATGTATTTCAGTGTGTGTGTCTGTCTGTGTGTATGTATGTCAGTACGTATGTGTTTGTATGTATATGTCAGTACGTATATGTCTGTCTATGTATGTATGTCCTTATGCGAGTTTGTGTCTGTTAGTATGTGTGTCTGTATATGTCTATGTGTCTGTTTCACTATATATAGGATTTTTTTTTTTTTTTTAAATGTCAAACTGTCCAACTCCCACTACCCTTAACCCTGCAAGTGTAATTACTGCAGTTTTCATAAACTTCAATATTTACATTGCAGGGTTAAGTCCTCCTCTAGTGGCTGTCTACTAGGAGTTCCGTGTTCATAGAACACGAAAGGTGTTTTCAGCGACGCTGGACATCCTCACTCTATATGAGAACCTCCAGCGTCCCCAAAATCACCATAGGAAAGCATTGTATGGGGGGTGGGAGGGAGAGGGGCACTGCAGGAACCTGCACTGCCAGGAAAAGGAATGTTTTCCTTGCACTAGAGAATCCCTTTAAGGAGCAGTAACCCTCTCATGACCTTCTGTAAATAACTTCGAGTCTAACCATCTTCTGTGGTAAATTATTCAATCCCTCCATCTACCCAAATGAAAATATCCTAATGTAACCTGGAATTTTTCATTAATAAAATGGGCTGAAAGACCATCTTATTCAAGAGGGGAAGTCTTTCATACCAAAGAGTTGATTCACAAACAAAGTGTCGGGGGATAAATTACTATAGTAGAATACTAGGAAACACAGGGCAGATAGAAAGTCTGCCTTTGGAAGAATCTGCATTGGCAAAGCTGAATCTATACACAAACATTATGGAATTATTGTATCCTTTGAAGTAGTTAAAGGAAGAAAGGGGGGTGGTGGGCGGGGGTTGGAAGAAGAGGGAAGGATGTGGGGCTAGCTTTTGACCAGAGGAGTTATACTCTTATCGAGCTCCGTGGAGAACTGACACAAGCTGGCTAATTAACCCTTACCGTCATGACTGGGGTTCTCTTTCGCCCTTTGGAGTAAAATAGATAGCATGCGGCGCAAAACTAAAACACCTTGAGGCAACTCAGTCACGAAAAATCACTAAATTTGTGGGTGTGTAGATGGGGCGCTGTCAACTGTCCAGAAGAGGTTAAATCCCTGCTGCTACCCAGGAACCCCAAGTATCTTTCAATACTTGAGAGTCCCCTCTGTTGAAGTACTACTCTTAATCCTTTGCTAGTGACAGATTAGCTGACAATTTTGGTTAAATATATGCAGACACTTAAAATGACACTATGTAGATTTGAAATATTGGCCTTTCGGTTTTGTTATTGAGGTTTGTGGCCTGCAAGTAAAACTGATTCTAACCACAAACTGATCAAATGCTACAGGAGTGTTCTGAGTACAGCTGTACTCAGAATGGTAACTGTAACGGATCACCTGGCACCCCGACTGGGTACCTCCGTTGAAGGATGCTCCTAGCGCTTCCTGAGGACCGAACCGGAGAAACAAATAAATTCTCCCAAGCATATGAATGCCGTAGACAGTTGAATAGGAACCGTACGAATAGGTTTACTCTCCTAGCAGTCAAACTGGAACAGCATTCAATAAATCCTTCCCCCAATAATGAGACGACACTTCACTTTGAGGGTTAAAACAGGAACTCCCTGTACTGTCACATACAGTCTCTTTTATTCCCAATCCACAAACATAGTACAGCCCACAGGGCGTTACAAAACAACCAATCAATCCGTACAATACACCCAGACACTCCCACACAAAATCCTCCCCTCTGCCTGTGATATGATTACTGAACACAATGAGTAATCTCATTATCACCGGCAGAGGAATACAGTTTTTACACAATATTTATAACTTCTAAAATATACATGTCACAAACATAAAACATACATTTTCATAATCAATCCATTCAGGGGAACAACATATTAAAAAATGGCACGAATCAGACCAGGGGTTCAAAAGTTAAGGGAAAGTCCTTTGTGACTAAATGAAGCATGGCTTTCCGGCCCAAACCAGTTTCAGAGTCTTCCATCCTGGAGATAAGTGAGAAGTAATTCAATTATCTCCCAGGACAGACACAAGACTCCATTATGCACATGGTGAGCACAAAGCATTAAAATATTATAAAATACACAAAGTCACATTTTATACATAAAACACAGACATGTCACATATCCCCAGATAGTTGGGATCTGAGCGCACAAAACTACCGAATAGCGCTCAGATCCTATTCACACAGTTCAATTGCCATGGAGCCGAAGTCTTTAACTACACGAATGGGCTCCATGGCATAGCTATCTGGGTTAACACATTCACATAAAGTCTGGTCCATAGTCCAAAGGCAAGAGGCGGGCAAGCAGCCCCCTCCAAGGACACGTGGCGAGGCCGGTTTCGCCACAGTAACTGATACTTTGTTGCAGTTTTCTGCACCCCCTCTTTAGTACACCACATTAATTTTATTCTTTTAAGGACAAAAGAAATTGTCCAAGTTCTGAGAAAAAAAAAAAAAAATTTAAAAATAAAAAATGGAATTTGAGCTCTATGTCTGTTCAACCATAATTTACCTCTTTCGTATTAAATGCACCCACGCTTATTATACATCATTATGTTCAGGAGAAATAGGGCTATCATTTCACAACAAATATTTTCATATATGAAACAATTTAATATGAATCTAAAAAATAAATTAAAAAACGTGTGAGAAATTTTATTTTCCATGTTCTGCATGGCAATTAAATTGTGGATGTCAGAATAGCTTCTCCTGAGTTCAGACAGTTTTCAGCCTGAATTAAAACGTCTAACTGCAGAATTCATCAATGCCTTTACACATCAAACCGTCTGAGATTTCATTGGTAGAACTCTAGTACTAAGAACCAAGCTCTTCAAAATGAGGTTATATGGTAATGAGAATCAAATCGACTGATACAAATTGTGTATTTAGCCATTGTGATCTACCCTGCCTGACACCTAGGCTGCAAACTAACAAGGCGCATATGAGAAAACCATCCTCAGAACAATCTGAGGATAGTGCAATGAAAAAGCCAGAAGCCCATCCAGCTCACACGCTGGAGAGACATCACACCTAAGCTCGCAGGTGGTCAGTTCCAGGTGATGGCAGCCACAAGGGAGGCTCACTAAAGTGACCCTGATGAGGATAAGCCCATTGGCCAGCTCAAGTGTCTACGCTCAAAGCGCACCAACTACACAACCAACAGAGGTGTAAGAGTCTGTTGTATGTATCTTCATAGTTAGAGAAAAATTGTGAGGCAAGCCCCAGTGGGCTTATTTCTCCCATGACCTATTGTTCTCCCCCCTGGCCCCCACCCCTGAGCGGCGGCCCTAAATTAGAATAGGGGGCGCGCTAATGTCCTCCCCCCCTGGCCCCCACCCCTGAGCGGTGGGTGGGGGTCCTAAATAAAAATTTGGGGGCACCTAGTGTGCTTCCTCCTTGCCCCCACCCCTGAGCAGTGGGTGGGGCCCTAAATACCAATAGGGGGGCCTATTGTTCCCACCCCCGAGCGGCGGGTGAAGGCCCTAAATAAAAATTTAAAAAATTTAACCCCCCTACCCAGGTGACTAAGGGGTCCTCAAACCCCTAGTCACCTCCCCTGTCCCCCCCAAAAATGAACCCCTACCTTCCTCATCCTAAAAATAGTGAGGGGGGGGACCTTTAACTAAGTACCTAAGTAAAAATAAAATAAAACTTAGCATTTAATGTTTTCTTTCTTCTAAAATCTTCATTTTTCAACCCCCAAAAAAGGGCAAATAAAAATCCATAATAACCGACGCACTTAAAAAAAATATAATCCATCTTCACCCATTGAGGGCTTCGCGCAGACTGAGCTCGTGAGGGCGGGGGAAGGCTTATAAAGCCTTACCCCACCCTGCAGTTAGGCTCAGAGCACTCTGATTGGTGGGTTTAAGCCATCCAATCGGAGTGCTCTAGCAGGTAAATGAAGAGACTGACAGGTAAGTCTCTACATTTACCTATCACAGCACTCGGATTGGTTGGCTTAAAATCCACCAGAGTGCTCTGTGTCATTTTACACAGTGTGGGAAAGTTCTTTGGAATTTTCCCACACTGTGTAATTTGACTCCTAACACTGATTGGTAGATTAAGTAACCAATCAGAGTGTTATGAGTCAAATTACACAGCGTGGGAAATTAGGTCCCGCCCCCCTTGCTATAATTTAAGGCCACCACCCACCACTCAGGGGTGGGGCCGGGGAAGGACATTAGGTCCCCCCTCCAATTTTTATTTAGGGCCCCCACCCTCCACTCATGGGTGGGGGCCGGGAGGAGGATAATAGGTCCCCCCCTTATTTTACTTTAGGGCCCCCACCCACTCTAATACCGTGGGAATTAGGGAGTTATCTACTTATTCATTCCTGTCATCACACTGACTGGCTAAATAACTTACATTTTATATGAATGTATGTTACTTGATTGTTGTAAGTGCTGCAAATGCTTACAGCTGAATCCTGGCTATGTTTGTATACTTTTTATTTAAAATTCTTCTTCTTCCACTGGGTAAGTATATTAGTACTTAGGCAATACATTTTACTTCCTTTTGCAGCCCTCTAGCCCGCTCCAGGACTTTAGAGCCATTTTAGTGCCCAAAACCCGAACATCCAGGTGTCCGCTCATCTCTAATCATAATGGACTCGTATGACAAACACATCTGGAAGTTATACTCCACGTCCCTTAAATTACGATTTTATGAGAAGTTCTAGGTTTTGAGTGTCCGCATACAAATTTCAAGAATATGTTATGAAATTCGCGTAGGATCTTTTTAGGTACACTCAAAGGCACTAATTACCCAGCCAAAAGATATACAGTGCTTTCCATTTTATTAAGGAGTGTATTTTATTTTCAATTTCCCTTTTGTTGCATCTCACAGGTGGATTAGGCAGATCTAGCTAGTGCACTGTGCACATTTTTCTGCTGATTAAATTAGCCATAATCAAATCAATGAATAATTAATAAATTTTATAACATGACAGGAGGCTTCCTATTTTGCATTAACTCTCTTTACTAAACTCCACAGCAGTAAAGAAAACGTAAAGAGTAACAAATAAATCACTGAGCAGCATAGTATATAAGGGTCATGCTGCCTGTACACTCCCTCTTTCTTTACTGCTCCATCGCAGACAGGTCAGAATATTTGCTCCCCTGGAGCTTTCTACATTTATTGTCATTTCTTTTGTTCTATATATATATTTCAAACATATTTTCCACTTGTTTACATCCTTTTATTTCTATTTATATTTATATTTTCTCCTATCTTCATCAGGGCTGTGGGACTAGGGGCTCTCTGTGGGTCTTTTCTGCCCCTATTTGCCCCTCTATACCTCCTGGGACCCTCCCTTGGCTTCCCCTTGGTCCCCCCAGGTTCCCCCACTGCCCCCCTTCCCTGGAGTGCCCTCCTGGGCTCCCTCCTTGCGGCCGGTTTCATTCGCGGCCGTTTTCGCGCCGGCCCGCTTCCATCCGCGGCCGGCCTCAAAATTTAGTCCCCGGCTTGCGGCCTACCTCGCGGCCGCCATTTTGGATCGCGGACATCGCGAGATTCTCGCGGCCATCTTAGTTTTGCCTCGTGCATCTCATTAGGGACTCAGTGTGGCTGTGCTAGCTTGCTGGTACCTCTGAAACTGCTGTTTTCCTCACCTTTTGTGTCTGACACCATCTGTGACTATAGGATTACCTACTCAAGCACCCCATCTGCTGCTTTCAACCTGCTACTCAGTCTGTGCCTCATCTGCTTCTATCAAGCTATCCTGTGGCTGGGTCAGTCAGGTCAGTGCTGCTGCCTGTTTATTATTACTGTGACCTGCACTTAAGGGTCCCAACCCTGTGCAACCGGGGTGAGCCCCCACTATAAAGACGCTGCTTACTGGGAGACTAGCTGTTGCAGTTCTCTCTAACTGGGTGAGCCCCAGTTTATAAGGTCACTACTATACCCTGCTGGGGTTATTCTGGGCTTGCTCCCACAATACTTTCAAATCTGACCCTACGCCTACTACCAAGACCTGGGTGCCTGTTTATTACTGTGCCTTTCAATAATTTATAGCCTACCCTACCATGGAAGATTCCCAGAATGTCCCTGTGGACTTCCAGGCCATGATTAACGCAGCTGTCGCTGCCTCTGTGGAGAAGGCACTCTCCAAGGCCCGAGCTTCGGCTCCTGACGTACCTAAACGTAGACGTCCACGCCACGAGTCGGAATCTGAATTGTCCGACCACCAGGCACGGGAGGATTCCCGCCCTAAAAAGCGCCATGACAAAGGCGAAGATTGCACACCCAAACCAACTAAGGGTAAGGCACCTGCCAAGCACAAGTCTGCCAAATTACACACCCCGGCCCCGCGTCAGGAGTACTCTTCTGACGAAGAGCAAGAAGCCCAGTCCATGTCAGTGCTGGATGAATGGCAAGCTGACGCCTCTGACTCGGACTACGACGCATGGGGTTCGGACGAGAAATCTGTCTCCGCTTTCATGCGAGAGACTCTCCTGGGTGCGGCCCAGACAGGAGGTGTCGAGGACACTGTGGACGCAGAACCTCCTCTTGATTCAGACACCATCTTGGACCCCTCAGGCCAAGTGATGTTCGACCCCCGCAACATTCGGCACCCCAGGTCGGGTGACTGGTCGCCTCCTGAACACCTTTCTAGGTTTATGCACCTGTGGCTCCGCAAACCTCTGGAGAAAGAGGTCCGCAGCCGACTCAGGTCAGAATGCCCACGCCCTTCCCTGCCGGATAAGGTCGCGCAGACCCCGGAATTCGACAAGGTTATGTCAACCTTCATGATGCGCAGTGGTAGAGACCCTCGACGAGGGGTGGAGAAAGGCCTATGGGGCGCCCAAGATAACCTGCTGGATTCTGTAGGCCCCCTGGCTCGCATTATGTATTTGGCGGATGATGCCTACACCAAAGCCGATTCCTTCTCCGCTGAGGACATCAGGGAATGGGCACATGATGTTCGTGAGTGGGCACAACGGTGTTTTTGTTTCATCGGAAACACTAACGTTACGCTCTCTTCGGAGAGAAGAAAAGCAGCGTTGTACCGTATTAACGGCAAACTGGCAGACCTTGGCACAAAGGAGATAGGGCCCCAGGCACAAGGGAAATTATTTGGCGAACCGTTCCTCAAGGAACTCAACAAACACGTGAACGTGTTCACCTCCCTTAACAAGGCGCAGTCCTCAATGCGCAGAGTGTTCAGAAGCAACCCTACCAGAGGGGTTTTTGGAAGGGCTGGCCGGCAACGGGGCCGTGCCGCCAGCCGATTTTGGCCTTCAGGCCCCCGCACCCAACCAACACCGTTTTACCCGACAAGGGACTACCGGCAACAACCCTTTTCCAGAGGCTCGGACAGAGGTCGTGGACCCCGCGGACGCGGACGTTCCCGCTTTGCTGCAGGTAAGGACCCACATTCCTCCACTGTTACCATGTACCCGCACTGCGGGCCGTATTTCCCTTTCTTTCCAGAATTGGGCCGCCCTATGCTCAGACACATGGATCCTACAAACTGTACAGGGATATATCATAGACCTAGTGGGGAACCCCTCTCAGGTTCAGCCCCCTCCCCCATCCACATGTCATCCTCCGACCACAACCTCGTCAACGCGGAGCTACGCGAGCTCCGAGACAAAGGGGCTATCCAGCCGGTCCGCGACGGGGGTGGTTACTTCAGCAACATCTTCCTGGTTCGGAAAAAGTCGGGAGAATACCGCCCCGTCATCAATCTACGCGCCCTCAACGCATATGTGGTCTACCGCCACTTCAAGATGGAAGGCATCCACCTCCTGCGAGACCTTCTTCGAAGCAACGACTGGTTCACCAGGCTCGATCTAAAGGACGCATATCTGTCAGTCCCGGTACACCCGGACTGTCGAGCACTCCTACGTTTCCTCTGGCACGGACGTCCTTGGCAATTCACTTGCCTCCCTTTCGGGCTCAGCTCAGCCCCATGGTGCTTCACCAAACTCCTAAAACCAGTGGTGGCCCACCTAAGATCAAGGGGCATTCGATGCATCATCTACTTAGACGATCTCCTCATCTTCTGCGCCGACGAACACAGACTACGCCAACACACTCACCTGGCAGTATCCCTACTGGAGTCTTTGGGTTTCGTGGTAAACCAACAGAAATCGGAGCTGACCCCTACCCAGACGATACAATTCCTCGGCTTCGAGATCGACTCGACAACTTGCACTCTGAGGCTACCAGCCTCAAAGATCACAGCCATTCGCAAGGAGATTCGCAGGGTTCTTCGTCTCGACTCCATTCCACTACGCAATCTGGCCAGGATTGTAGGACTCCTCTCTGCCTCCATTCAGGCCATATTTCCGGGTCCCCTCCACTACAGGGCCATGCAACGTCTCAAGGCGAAATACCTACGCCGCAAGCCTACTTACGACCAACCCGTCCCGGTGACGATGGAGGTTCGCGAGGAACTATCGTGGTGGCTGGACAGTATGCAAGCCTGGAACGGCAGGGCCATATTCGGAGACGCTCCAGACTTCGTACTGGAATCAGACGCCAGCCTGTGGGGATGGGGTGCCACCAACGGAACCATCTCCACGGGGGGAACATGGACGACGCAGGAGCTCTCCATGCACATCAATTGCCTCGAACTCCTGGCAGGATCCTTCGCGATTCGCAGCTTGGCCCGGGAAAGATCCAACTGCTGCATCCTCCTGCGCATGGACAATGTATCCGCAGTCCAGTACATCAACCGCCTGGGAGGCGCTCGCTCTCGCCTGCTGTCGGATATCACGAAAGGCATTTTCGACTATTGCCTCCCTCGCAACATCACGCTACAGGCAGAATACTTGCCAGGAGAAATCAACCTCACAGCCGACTGGTTCTCTCGCCACTGGAGAGACGTCAGCGACTGGAAGCTAAACACGAGAATCTTCAGGGCCCTTGCAGCCCGGAGGGGTCCCTTTCACCTGGATCTGTTTGCCTCTCGCAACAATCACCAGACCCCGGAGTTCTTCAGCTGGCTCCCGGACCCGGAGAGCAAGGCGACAGACGCATTTCTCCAACAATGGCCGTCGACAGGAGCCTACGCTTTTCCCCCATTCTCCATGATTGCGAGAACACTACACCAGATACGGACGCAACAGATCAAACTGGTTGTCATAGCGCCCTTGTGGCAGAGCCAACCATGGTTCCCGGACCTCCTGGCCTCCTCCTACAGGGACCCTCTTCTCCTACCATCCTTCCCGGACCTACTCACGGATCCCAAAGGGCATCTCCACCCACTACTCCTGGAAGACCGGCTACCCCTGGT